AAGAATTTTCTTTTATTAACTGCATTTATTAGGCACTTATGCACCCAGGAGACACATAGCGATTTTTTATTGAATTTCTTAAAAATAAAACAGTTGAATTATAGGCTTTTTAGTATTTCTCATCTGATATATTCTGAAGCGATTCCCACAGTAGTTTTAAAGTTTATGTCTTTTTTTAGAGAAATTTTACGAAAACCAATACCTTTTCATTACCTGCAGTAAATCGAAAATATAATCGTAGTCGAGCATATACATCAGTAAAAACATAAAAATTGCATTAAAATAACATACTTTGTAGAACGTCTCAGATGAAAAAGTAATTGAATCGAGTCCCGCTGCCATATTGATTAACTCGCGATCTATTCTAAACGTGTTGCGTTGCATCGAATGAAATAATTTATAAAAATTAAAATAATAAACACGTATATAAATTAATTGGCAATATCTGTTCGCAATAATATTTTAAAACACAATGAACTTATAGTTTAGCATTTCCGATAATATTTAATTAATTTTTGAATTTTATTATATTTTATATATAAAATTGGAAGAACAAAAAATAAATGATTAAAATTTAATAAAAAAATTATCTGAAAATTCAGATCACACATAAATATGAGATCAGTCAAAAACAGGTAGTTAGTCATAATTAAAATCGAGAAAAAAATAAAACTTTCAAGGTAAGGAAATTTTTGTGGTAAAAAGTAAGGTAAACGATCACGTGACGCCCGTCTCCCCACCTTTTGTAACCAAAGCGAAGGAGGTTAAAATAAAAGTAAAAACATCAGTAGAAGCAAAGACAAACATCTTCGCGTGTCTAGAACAATAAACTCGAACGGGAGCGAAGACGAAACACGACACCTTGTAAATGATGCTAATCACCTTCTAATATTAAAAAATTAAAATCTTCAATAAATTATAATGAAATTAAAACTTTTTGACTGAATTCCATTACAAACATATTACAAAACTGGATTAAAGTAGAATTACAGTTTTTCCACGCTAAATTTTTAACAATTAATTTATTAATTTGGTGCCTCATTGACCGAGAGTGCGTAATTTCTATTTAACTGAACTCGCGCATCCCAACGGGTTAAAACTGAAAATGGTGATAATTTGTAAATTCATATTCTCACATAAAAAGCGTACTGTACACTCTGTTTATATTTCACCTCAGTAATTTGCGATTGAATTTTTCTAAATAAACCTATTTAATTTATAATTTACTTGACATGAAGAAATCTTTATGGCTAGTATTTCATATCTCATATTTCTGTTGTATAAAATATTTAAAATATCGGAAAAAAATATAAATTTCTGATATCTAATATAAATATTTTTATGATTGAATATTACATTTTAATATAATTCACTTTCTTCATCAAGAATGTGTATTTTTTCCAAAACATTAACTTTTTACCAACAAAGCACAGTGGAAGTAGGAACCGGGCAGAAAATGACAATGAATTGTAACCCCTGTTAAAGTGGTTTCTTGCATATTCCATTTCATCTTTCATATAATTCGTTTTTTCTGTATTTACACTGAATTTATGTAAAAATTATTGTGTTCGCCTGTTTGTTTTTAATAGCTTCTCTTCGTTTAATAGCTTCTCTCTGCTTACTAAATTAAATTAAATTACATTCGACCCCCATAACGCGGAAGATACGTTCTACTTTATAAGGATTTTACGTCGTAGGAATCCTTAAGTACATGAGCAATTCACAGCCCGGCACGTATGCAGTTTACGGGCTACGGCTGTTTGAAAGGTTTTCTTCCATACGAGTAAAATTAATCGATTGTAGACTAATTCGACTGAACATTTCCAAAATAAGTTTAATTATTGGGAATAATCCATATAAACTATGCTATAAACAATGAATTGTAGGATTACTTACCGAATGTGCATCGTTCGACGACACCATTGCTTAAGATTGTTTTCGTCGTGGAGCTTGTCATCGAATGTCGCTTGCGTGCTTCCTGATAAATTATTTTTTTTTGCGAAAAATTCGCTGAACTTTGGAGACGTCATTAATACAAATATAATTTTTATGGCCGTTAAATAATAAATGGTTTTTAGTAGGTCCGTTGCTCGTTTAAACTCAACGGTTTGTGCGATATCCGCTATTTGTCTAGATTCGAGAAATCCTGTCGCGACACGAGTCGGCGATGACGTTTTACTGCGTTATACGTGTCTCTTTTAACGTCTTTATACGAATACGGTCGCAAATTTTTGCTGTGATCTACGAATCCTCATTATATGAACCAGTTTTATAAAAGGTCTACTGTACTCGAAAACTCTAAATTTTAAAAGTCAAACCCAAATTAATTAGCTTAATTTGTGCAATATTGACTTAAAATAGTTATAAACATTACTAAATAATCATTACGAGGTATTTATTCGTTTATATGTTACCGCTAAAGCTCGAAAGTCGTTAATGTGTACATTGTCTAGCTAATCTGCAGATTAACTAGGGTGATCCGTTAAAGTTGTGAAAATTGTTCCATTTCTAAAATTACCTAGATAATGGGCAGAGTATCTAGGTAATCCGCACATTACCTACTAGGCACTCGGTAAAGTGAAAATAAGATTTTTGCCACAAATAGGTGTGCTTGTCCCAAAAATCAATTGCTATGAAATTCAAAGTGTCGCCAATCTTTAGATTGCACTAGTAAGCACAGTTGAATAATGTTACCTATGGTGAGTAAAATGGCGGCTCGTCTCTGATTCCAGCAAAGAAAAGAAAGAAAACAGTGAGGACGCACGTTCTAACCTAACCTAACCTATTATAATAAATTACCATAATTATTACCAACCAAATTATTAGAATAAGTTAAATTAGGTTTGAACGTGCGTCCCCACTATTTTCTTTCTTTTCTTTGCTGGAATCAGAGACGAGCCGCCATTTAACTCACCATAGGTAACGTAAACTGCAGAATTATATCATGCGATCACCAGAAAAAGTATGATAACTTTATTATTTTTCGTCTCCGGTCCAAAATTAGGGTATCGTTGAAGTCGTCTCGTTCCCCTGGGTTCAGATAGATACTCGAAGTCCCGAAATTCCATATAATAATTTTTTAATTGTATTAATATTTTAAACCGTTTGATTTTTTGTGTTTTTTAATTGATTGATGATTGATTCTATAAACTAATTTGTTGATTGTGTGATTGTATTAACTTGATTCTTTAGATATCGAAATTTAAATAAATAACAATATGTTAATTTAAGCGTACAGAAACATTGCTGTTGTTCAAGCGAAGATCTTATTTTCACTTTACCGAGTGCCTAGTAGATAATTTGCAAATTACCTAGATAATCTGCACATTACCTACGTAATTTGAGAAATAGAGCAATTTTAGCAACTTTAACGGATCACCCTAGTTAATCTGCAGATTAGCTAAATAATATATACATTAACGACTTTCGAGCTTTAGCGGTAACATATATATATTATTCTTTACGAAAGTCGAGTGTTTGGAACAGCTAATCATTTATTGTACAGTACATGTCAACGACAAAATATTCTCTTATCTTTGATCAAATTTGTTAAAATATCATAATTTCTACAAAAATATTAATTTTTAAAATTATTTTCAATATTATTTAGTGTTTTCTTTCGGTCACTTGATCGTTTTTAACATTGTAAATATTTCTTACCTATTTTTACCTTTGTCTTTGGGTTACTTCTGTGGTGGTGTAAAATGGATTAATAAAGATAGTCTCGAGAATGTTATTTTTGAAAATAGTCTAAACTTCAATTATGAAAAAAGTATATCCTGAGTCATCACGAAAACATTACTTTACATTAGTTAAACACAGAGCATCTTCTATGTATGTATGTCTCTTTAATCCGACATTAAGTTCGGTAGACTATCATTACAGCTTTCAGGTTAGACACTTCTTTTATTGTTACCACATATGCATTTCGGACTTACATAAATGTTAAGTCCCTCTTCAGTGCAATACTACAAATTATTAAAAAAAACATAATTAGTGACATGACAAAACTCTTCGCGTGCAGGTCATATTTACTGACATAAAACTATCATACTTAAAAATTGTCACACTTATACGATACCTATGGTTCTGTCTTCTAAAACCACGGTGTACAACGGGTAACATTGGTAAGATTTTAAAATACAGCCATTAAAAACACTCCAAATACATCTTCCAACATTAATATGAAAAACCTAATATATTAATAATTTTATAATTTTTTTAATTTTAATGCTACCGCTCGTGATGTAATTAACAGGGAGTTAGGATCAAACGTACCGAAACCCTCTCTGACCTACGAGATGTTTTATTGCGCTCGTAACAAAAATACCGTCAAATTTCATTTAATTATTGAATTATCCGACTCAATTGGGGACTGTGGTTGATCGGATAATTGAAAAGTCGGATAACCGAAAAGTATGAAAAAATCCATTATTAGTGTAGTATATTATTATATCCCATGTAATTAGTATATTAGTATATCGCTATTAACCTACTTCGCGTTGAATTTTCATCGATGTTAAGCCTAACAAACATTTTTTAAAATAATAATCGTCGCTATTGTATAGTTAAAAACTAGAAAATTAAGCCTCGTTTAAATACTGCCTCTTTCATAGTCGAATGAGTGTTGCCAGCTAAAACACGTAAAAATAATATTAAAGTAGCCAAGACATAGCCAAATAATTTAGCGCCACATCACTAGCAAACATTTGAAATTTGCCGACTAGGACGATCGGTTAACCGAGGTGTCGGTTAATCAGGAGTCGGATAATCGAGGCTCTACTGTAGATAATATTTTTTCTATTAAATTCACTGATTTCTAACGTAATTAATAACCATTATTCTACATTATTCATAATTAAAATTTACTAACAAAGCGCAGCATATTTGAAGTATACAAAATTAATTTCTCTAAAACGAATGCAGAAGAACAGCAATTTGTGGAAAATTATTCATTAAAGCGTTCAAACTCCATGCATTTGAACTGACAAAAGTTCAGTTGTCAACATTGTAATAAATCACTTTTTCTTCCTTTGGCTCTGCCACTTTCTCGACATTTCTTTTCTTATGACAATAAACAAACACAACAACTGTGATTAAACCTAACAAGGTTAGCGAAGTAAGAACAGTAACTGCGATTTTCCATCCAAAAGTACAACTAGCTTCGTCAAAACACGAGATTTGCATGCATTCACTATTAAAAACAATACTGGTAAAAGAGAAAACAGACGAATTTTTCGTGCATAAAACCTCGGAAAAATCTACAATTTTCAATTTGTTTCGAAGCAACCAGTCTTTAGTAAATCGCGAATGGCAATCACAAGTCCAATTGTTTCTCGATAAGTACACCGTGAATTCAGCAGAGACGTCGATCAGATTCATTAATCCGGAAGGTAATTCGGTTAATCGGTTTCCGTTTAACCAAAGAAATTTCATGTTTGGCAAAAGAACATATTCCGAAAAACGGAAAAGAGAATTGTTGCTCAGGTGCAGACGGGTGACTTTGTTCCACGTTCGAGAATCCACAGTCGAGAAATCACTTATGTAATTATTACTCAAGTCGACGATTGTCGCATTTTCGATCAGAAATTCGGGTAATTTCTTTATTCCCTTTCCATTACAGTCGACTTCGAGGTTGTCGTTTTCTGAGAAACATTCGCAGTTTAGTGGACAATGGCTTTTAATGGAGAAGAATTGCGTAAAATCCAGCAATTTTCTTTCTTCTCCGTGACATTTCATGTCTTTTACATCCGGAAAAATTTGTAATGAAATTTCTAAATTCGATTGAACAGTGCTGACGAAATGCAAAAGTTCTCCATCACAAGTTATTGGGTTTCGACCTAATTGGTAATTGGGTTTGTTGAATCCGTACTTCCATTCATCGATGTAAATGGTTTTTATGAGACAAAAATCCAAATCGATTTTCATGCGGTTTGGAGTGTAAATCGGCAATTTGACAATTTCGAAATAGTTGAATGGAGCATAAATATAAGTCAAATTGTAGTTTGTCCAATTTAAATTCGGCCATTCTGTCAAACCTGCTCCACGCAAATACAGTTCTTCGAGATTATTGTTGAAGTCGAAGGAAATTTTACTGAAATTGTTATGAGAAAGAGAGAGAATTCGTAAGTTCTTCGTTGGAAGAAAGATGTTTTTAGGTAAAAATGTCAAGCGATTAGATGATAAAACTAGTTCTTCCAGATTCGACAAACGTTGGAAAGTATCTTCTGCAATGTTTTCTAGACGATTTTCGTGTAAATTGATTTTTTTGAGTTTATAAAGTCCATCGAAAATACCATTTGGTATTGTCGATAATTTATTCCGACTTTATTCGAAAACTTCCAGATTTTTATTATTTTTTAGCAGATTGGATGGAAGATGCAGCACATCGTTGGAGTAAAAATCAACCTTTCTTAAGTTCATGGAATGGAAAAAAAAATCATCTTCGATTCGAAGTAAAGGAAAGTAAGAAGCGCGAAATTCTGTCAGATTGTCGAGTCCTTTCAAAAATACAGAGCGCAATTCAGAGAAATTTCCAGAAATAGAAAAATTCCTTAATATCGAAAGACCTTTCAACAAGTCTTCAGGAAAACTTTTTATCGGGTTTCCTTCCAAATTCAACTGTTCCAATAAAGTGAGATGTTGAAAAAATAAAGGATGAACGGACTCAATTAAGTTATAACTTAAGTCAAGTGTTTTCAAATTATAAAGACCATGAAACAGCTCTTCTGGTAAAGTCTTTAATTTACCAAAGTTCACTCGTAATTCAGAAAGATTCTTCAATTGTTGGAACGGTCTGTTCAGAAACGACGTAAAGTTATATTTCGAAATTTTCAAAGAAATCAGAGAAGAACCACTGGGAAAACTCAAATTGAATACGTCGAAAGTTCTTACTCCTTCAATTTCTAAATATTTCAGAGACGACATATTTATAAATGATTCACTATCGAAACTAAACGTCTCACTCTTGTATTTTATGACGATTTTCTCGATGGCATAACTCGAAGCGAATCTTTCGACGGCAAATCTCGCCAAGTAACAATCGATAAAAGCTAAGTGTTTAACGTATTTGGCGTTTAAACAATGCATTAAACGAATGTCGATGGTTTGTTTGTCACTGCAAGTGACAGATAACGAGTTATTGAAGATTTCCACAGAGGAATGTCTATTTGATATATAACACCTATCGGCAGTCGATATGCAAGAATTATTTATTCTTAGCATCCAATGATGTATAATTTCTGTACCGTCTATAATGTGAAATTCTCCTAATTTACATTTGTATATTGGCGCTTTACAAGAGAAGTTTTTCCATTGGTTCCAGAAATCTTGGCAGCAATTTACTAGCGAGAATAGGAATCGAAAAAGGATTACCAACCTCATATTTTCTGCTCAGAGTCTTGTCGTTTTTTCTATTTTAAGTGAGACGAGATTTTTAATGCGATACACCAGCATTTGTTGTTTCAACCGTTACTTGTCGACTGACAAATAAAGCGGATGAATTACGAGAATAATTAGAATGATTCATTATTCCTTGCTCTTATAGAAGATGATTGACATAATTTTTAATTAATTTCTTCCTTATCCGTCTCGCTCATATAGTAACAAACATTTCGTATTATTATTAAATAATTATTCTCACAAATTTAAGTCTAATTTATTACTGAGTAAATTTCACACATATATTATATATATACACTTAGATTACACGTTTCGTATGCCATAATTAGNAAAAGGATTACCAACCTCATCTTTTCTGCTCACAGTCTTGTCGTTTCTTCTATTTTAAGTGAGACAAGTCTTAATGTGATACACCAGCATTTATTGTTTCAACCGTTACTTGTCGACTGACAAATAAAGCGGATGAATTACGAGAATAATTAGAATGATTCATTATTCATTGCTCTCATTGAAGATGATTATGACATAATTTTTAATTAATTTCTTCGTTTTTCGTCTCGCTCATATAGTAACAAGCATTTCATATTATTACTAAATAATTATTGTCACAAATATTTATTAAGTCTAATTTATTACTGTGTAAATTTGATACATATATTATATATATACACTTAGATTACACGTTCCGTATGCCACAATTAGTCGTCAAGTTGACATTTTGAATTCTGAAGATTTTCGAATTTAGAAATTATCGATTTCAGATTTTAATATGGCGCCTAAAACTGGGATTTTCATAATAAAGACACGACTTATTCATTTTTTATAATTTCCTGATTTAGAAAAGTCATTACTTTCATTTTTGTTTTTTTTTTATTACTACAGTAATTTTCTTTCCTCTTTCCATTTTACTTTCTCATTTTTCGATTTAATTTCCTTTTTTCTTTCATTGTACTTTGTATTTTAATTATAATTTGCACTTAGAGAATCTCAGAGCATTTTACGAGTGTATCATTCATTTTAAAGTTAAAATTAAATAATATCGTTTTCTGTGAGTGTCTCGGACTTGCCAGGTATTGTCTATATGCTGAAGTGAACAAATTCCCATTGTTTGGATGATAACATTTAATAACAACACGACTATTACACAGTCTGCAACACTAACAGTTAACAGTGGTTAATGTTTATTACTTTACGAATTGTAGAACGTACCGGATATAATAAAATCGATAAAGGCAATTTAACACAAAGCATCCCTAGAATACCTAGGTATTTTAGGGATATTTTTATTTCAAATTTTATAGATTACTTTTTATCTATTATTTTACTTTCCTTCTATTATATATATAACTACTGGAAAAGCGATAAGTTACTATTCGAATAAAATTATCATATATATCCGCATTTATATAATTTACTTTATAAACTAGTTTTTCTCTTATATTACATCATACATCAGCATTTTATAAAATAGAGAACTTTGTTATCCGTTGTGTATACAATACAACTTTCCTATCACCGATTTTAATTCATTTAGATCGTCTTATTGTAGTTCAAAATATTTTCTGTCGAAATCAATAAATAACCCTAAAAATAAAGTAATAAATAGAAAAGTTGGACATATTTTTTTGTTTTTCAATACTAAAAATAATTAAGACAATTACTAAATAAAAGTTTTTACAATTGATAGACAACAGAAAGATATTTACTTTCATTTATAGACTTTTATTGTCTTGAATTACATTACAGTTGACTCCCCTATAGCACTGTTGATAATTCAGTTTTATATGAATTCCATGTTGTACGAGTCACTTAGATTTTACAAATACGCGAGCCGTTCACATTCCGGCACACATATTTGTAAAATTTAAGTGACTCGTACAACATGGAATTCATATAAAAAAGAATTATCGACAGTGTTATAGGAGAGTCAACTGTAATTAACAAAATTACAGTTTATTTCTCTTTAAGTTTTTAAACATTAATCATTATTTATATTGTATTTGCATACAGATAAAAATGTATCCATGCAAACAATTGAATGTAGTTACAAAATATTATTTCTTACGAACCTTGATGAACAGTACTTAAAACTGTTTAAGGCCATTCCTTGGATCTTTCACTCGCCATTAACGTAAGACAAAGAATCACATGAAAAATTATTTCATTATTCTCTAATAAACACACGTAAACAATACAAGTTAATATAATGTTTAGCGTTGGAAATATTTAGTTTGAAACAATTGTTCTATTTCAGGCAACATCCTGTAAAAATCAAACAAATGTTTTACTTATACGGTAAAAAGAACAATAAGCTTTCTTTAGAGTCTAAAGGAAGCTTATTGTATCGGAAGATTCCTAACTCACGTCTTGAGATTGAGAAAAGACAGTCATACGGACAGACGGACAAAAGTAAGAATTTATAGGTCTACAATTTTTTCAAACTGTAACTCAAAAAACGTTTGTAGCTGACACATCCTTTCCTTATTATATTAAAAAAAATGCCAAAACAATATATTAATTGCCTACATTTTATTAAAGACAGAAATTATATATATTTGTTATTTATATCTTTCCTACACTTTACCTTTACTTTCTTGGCTGCTGAATAACAGGGGAAATGCAGCGATCAGTCAAAAATGCAAAAGATTGTGGTATTTTCTGTCTGTATGGATGTTAGTTTTTGCATAGGTAAGTATATATGTTTCTCTGTATGTGTGTGTGTTAATTAAATTTCAAACTTAAGATCGGAGAGTTTAGAAATGAATATTTACGAGAAAGAACATAAACCAGTTAATAATATAAAAAGATCTAATATGCCAATTCTCCTTTAAAGTGCCAAATTAAAACGAACGTGTTCAGCCAGTCCTCGCTTAACGAGCGGTGAAACTTACAAGTTAGAACCTGATGTCCAGCGCGGGGAATCGCCTTTATCTGTCTGAATCTTGCGAACTCCCTTTTCTAGTGTAAGTCTCGTTCCCCCAGTCGATCATTATTAACTACAAGAAACGTAGACAGTTTCCAACACTATAGATTTCGTGTAGAAATTTCTACTTTATTGTCACCATTTAATGCAAGATGACGAAAATGAACAGCACGGCTTCAATTTTTCAAACTGTACTCAATAAATGATCGCTGCAGAGCCGACACGCCTTATTTCAGAAATAAGGTGGAACTATTGAATACTTTTGGTGAATTCGTGGACAAAGGAAATTTCTGCGTTATGGAATGTATCTAGTATGCTTAAATAAGTAAAATTGAAAGTAATTGTGCGTTAGAAAAGGTTTTTTAAATAGCAAATTTAGTATCAGGCTACTTACTATTTAAAATGCGGTAAAAAAACTCATTGAGCAAATAATTAGTACGCCATAAAAATACACCTTATGTTGTTGAGATAATTTATTTAATGCTAAACTTTAGTTAAATAAATTATCTCAGCAACTCTAAATTTATTTTGATTGTGCATCAAAACAATTCTGCATTTAATTGATAAATTAAAGCAATATCATTGCGGGTGGAATTTCAGAGGCGAATTAACAATTTATGGTAAACCTGTTTTTGAAAGTCATATAATAGAATTCATTTCGTATCTAACGAAAAATACAAAAAGTTTATTTAAAAAAACTTCAAACTTTTTAATTCGTGAAAATTTGAATTTTATTTTCACAAAAAAAACGGAAGTTTAACTTACGGATTATTGGTCATTATTATGATAAACCGAATGGAAAGTAAAAATGTGCTTTTCGATAAAGAAATATAAAAAATACGTAAAAATTACGTAAAGAAGGTTGCAGAAACGTACTACAAAAGGCACAAAAATGATTTCTTGTATGAATGAAACTGTCATCATTTGTAATATTTAGGGGAAAGTTGGGTAATGAAAAAGTGCAATGCAGCTTACTTAGGTACCTCGAAAGTGAATGGAACTGCGAATGTACGATTGACGTGGCAAAGTAGCAAATGTGATGATAATTTTGTGTGGCCATCAGAAGTAGAGTTTTTCCTTCTGTTTGCTGTTCTCGAGGTGATGGCTTAGAATATTTTGCAAATTTCCACAGAGAATAAGTATATAATTATTTTTAACTGTTAGTTTTAATCATTATATTATAAAATGCATATATTTACCTTAACATTTCCGCTTTTCGATGAATTTATAATATTCAATTAGGCCAACAGCAAAGCATCCGAATCCAACATGACGACGAAAGGTCATGACCTAAGCTACGTACAGTACAACAATGAGTGCTTTAAGTTGATATTTTACTCGTTTCCGTATTTCAAATAAAAATAAAAGACAAGAATCGAGCAGACAATAAAACATTGACAAATTCAAGAATTATTCCAGAAAATCACTAACTACATGCATTTAAGTAAAAATAAATTCATTTTTCGAACAAGAAACTTATATTAAACCAGGCAGTTTGCATCCGTAAAGAATTGACTGTAAGAACGAAATTATAATTAGTAAATGCGATTATTTACAAACATAAATTTATACTTTAGTTTTAATCGGTAATTACTTTTATAGTTGGCATTTAAATAAGTAAACAGATTATTTATTACGACCGATCCTGTCGTATTCGTTGTCTTTACTACGTTGCAAAAAACTGGTTACATTAATGAAAGTACTTACATTTAAACTGTCGTAATTACAAAATTCAAGTGTGAACATTGTAACAAACCATTTCCTCTCGATGAGTATTTGGCTTTTTCTTGTCACTTCGTCTTCTGCGATAATAAACGATGGAAACAGCAATAATCACACCTATTAATAATAACGAAGTAAGAACAGCCACTGCGATTTTCCATCGAAAAACAAACGAATCATTTACTAAAGATGTCAAATTATCTTCTGGAATTTCTCTGTATTCATTATTGGAAACAATATCGATGAAAGACAGAAAAGACAAATTTTTTCAGCAGTAAATATTGGAGAAATCTGCAAACTTCTGTTTGTTTCTAAGCAACCAGTCTTTAGTAAATTGCGAATGACAATAACAAGTCAAATCGTTTTAGGATAAGTAAAGTTTAAATTCTGGAGAAACGTCGATCAGATTCATTAAACCGACAGGTAATTCGGTTAATCGGTTTCCGTCCAACCACAGGAATTTGAGGTTTGGCAAAAGAACATAACCCTGAATATTACTTACTGAATTATTACTCAGACGCAGATGCGTGACTTTATTCCATGTAAAAAAATCGATATTTGACAAATCTTTTATGTAGTTATTACTCAAATCGACAATCGTCGCATTCGGGACGAGAACTTCGGGAATTCTGTCGATTCTTTTTCCGGAACAATTTACCACCACGTGATTATCTTCGGCGAAACATTCGCAATTCATCGGACAATAATTTCCTATGACTACGAACGATGAATTATCCAGCAAATTTCTATTTTCTTCGTAACATTTCGTGTTCTCTATACTCGAAAATATTGTATTTGCTACTTTTCTATTTGACTTAAGGGCAGAAACGAATTGCTGCAGTTTGTGATCGCAAGTAATTACATTATTACTTAAATCATAAGTCGGCATTTGAAATCCATATTGCTTGCCATCGATGTAAAGTGTTCTGATTTTACAATCAGACAGTGTAATTTGCACGCGATTTAAAGTGTAAATTGGCAATTTGACGGTTTCAAAACGATTATTTGAGAAATCGACTGCAGTCAAGTAGTATTCTGTCCAATTTATCATCGGCCATTGTGTCAAACCTGCATTGTTTAAACGGAGAGTACGCAGGTGCTTGCTGCTGCCAAAAGGATGCTCACCAGTAAGTTTAGTTAAATTATTGTTAGATAGATCGAGAAGCGTTAAATTAGTCAATGGGAGAAAGATAACTTCGTGTAAAAATGTCAGGCGATTTTGTGATAAATCGAGAATCTGCAATGACGACAAATTCTAGAAAACATTATCGGGAAGATTTTCTAACCGGTTTCGCTCCAACTCTAACACTTGCAGTTCAGAAAGTCCATCAAATATTCCTGCTGGAAGTGTCGATATTTTATTGTTCGCACAAGAAAAATTTCTCAGCAGTTTGTTATTTCTCAGGAGATTCGGCGGAAGATATTCAATTTGCTTGAGATTTAAATAGACGGTTTTCAAATGAATTAAGTCAGAAAATACATCTTCTTCGAGCGACGAAATAGAACAATTATAAGCAAAAAATACAGTCAAAGTGTATAATTTTTTAAAGAATCCGGATGGAATTTCTGTTATTCTATTTGTATTAATAAATAAATACTTAAAATTTGAAAGACCTTTCAGCATGTCAGTGGGTAAATCCTTTATTTGATTAAATCCTAAATCCAAAAAGTTTGGTGAGATTTCTAAAGACGAGTGGATGAATCGATTCAATTTTATTCTCACTTAAGTCTAGAATGGTAAATTATGAAGATTATAAAATAGATCTTCTGGTAAATCTCTTAACTCTCCATACGAGATGTCTAAATCGTAAAGATTAATTAACTCTCGGAAGGGTCTGTTCGGAAATGAAGTGAAGTTAGACAATAGAATACTCAATGAAGTCAGCGATGGAACATTGCGAAATGTTAAATTTAGAAAACCCGACGTCTTCACGTGTCGTATTTCGACAGATCGCAGAGAGGACATGTTACTAAACGAGGCGCTCTCGAAGTTTCGTTTAGACACGAATGGTGAGTACGATATCTGGACGCGTTCGATTGCATACTCGTAAGTGAATATTCCAAAGTCAATTCCCGACAGAAAACAATCTCTTACCTTTATTTCTTGTACATTTCTAACGTCCAAACATCGCATCAAACGAGAGTCAATCGTTTCCTGGCCGCACTCGGTATACAAGGACCGGTTAAACATTATAACAGCGGAAAATTTGCTTGATTGGTAGCAGCTGTTTGCCCAAGGCATACAAGAAGCTTTTCCCCAATGTTGCCAAAACTCTTGACAGGAATTTGCCACTAAAAATAGAAACGCCAAAAAGATAACACACCTCATCTCGTTTAATGAGTCTCCTAATTACATCGACAGACGAATCTCAGCACTATGATCTTCAGAAATCAATTAACAATTAAACAATTCTTATTATTAATATTCGCTATCTGTACTGTTGCTATGTTGACAGCACTACAAATTATAACGTCGGTGATATTGCATCTTCCTTTGCAATAGAAATATGGCGTATACAGTTTTTAATTTCCTCGTTTATGTCCGTTGTAGTAATAAGGACAAAATAAGCTTAACTTTAAATGAATATTTTACGGATAAAAAATTTGTTTTTTTACATTTATTACAAGACAATTAATCGTTTAAACAAATTGACATCGTGAATATAATACTCTTTCTCTTATTTTTCTAAGACGTATGTGAATAGTGTTAATCAATTGTGTTTTGTGACACAAAACAATGTTTCTGTCTGAATGTAGTTAAATTATTATAATAAAAATTTGATAAATGAGTACAAATATATTGGTTCAAATATTCGTTTATTGGATGAAATTTCAATGATTTTATGATGAAATATAAAATAGTTTTTGAAATTATTGATTCTTCATCTTACACTAATCTTTCGATAAGTAGTGATTGTCTATTACGTAGAAGTGTTTTTGGAACGTGTATTGCACGTAAATGTTGTTAGACAACGAGAAAGTTTTTACAAGTTCTAATAGCCCCTAAATACCTCTCGGAAGTAACGTAGAGTCGATATGATGAGCGTCGTCTGTATGAAAGAGGTAGGAGTCCTCGGTATCTTACAACCGGTGTCTTTTCCTGTTTGCTGGATCGAGTCGGCTGTATGGAGGTCCGGGAGTCGAGGTGGCACTATCAGCAATTAAAACTTCCTATGACGAATCGCCCCGAGCTTCCGATAGCTCGCACTTTTGATTTTAAGAGCCCCGTAAAAATCCGCGGGCTCGCAGAATAAATTAATTTTTCCAGCAATAAACTTAAATTGAATTAGGTACTTTGCATCGGAAAATGATTACCTTTGCATTGATATTAATAAGTACAATCACTTCGAAAAGTTTAGAATAATTGAAATCCATCACCCAATCTGCCAACCCGTAATTGGCGAGAATTGTGCAAAATATTACGATTAAACTGAAAGACGAGATATTTAGCCTTGTTTTTTTCCTTTATCTTTATGTGAAAATATCAATTTTTTGGACGGACTTGAAAAATTGCGATTATTTAACGGAACAGAAGTGGCGATATCTTCGAATATTTCTTCGCGACATCAACGGAAGATCGTTTGCAAGATGACGATGCAAACTGGACAAAATGAAGTTTAATATCACACAAGTAAAAATGCCAAAAGATAGATTACATCTTAAAATACAACGCGTTTGTATTGTCCCGGAAACACCAGACTTGTCTCTATTTGAAAAAGAATGATGAGGAGAATCTAACCCAAACGATAAAACAAATTTAATAGATAAATGTACAGAAATTGTGTCTGAAATTAGACTAGTACAATGGAAATTATTTATTGATAGTACATTAAAAAGAATTATTTATTTTGACACGGTCACAATTCCGGGGTGCGAGTTTTAATCATATTTCTAGTATCTTTTTAATGTAAAATATACGGATCGGTTTCGTACATCACTCTTTTCATTTAACAATAAAGTCGTGCCGGTCATCTATTTAAATCCTGTCAAAGAAGAAATTATTCGAATTGTAGTTACGTGACTTCCGATTTGCATCGCACCTTTCAAAGAAGTTTCCTGCTTAAACTCCCATCTCTTCGAGTTGGTTTGCCGAATTAAGCACGACTAGAAATAGGTCTGAAGTAGGTTCGGTGCCTTTACCCTCAAGATACCCTTTCGAATGGAAGTTTTCTTACTTCAATCTTCTTATGACGAAATATAAAATATTTCTTTCGGATTATTCTCATTTTTTCTCAAACTTAAAATCCTTTTGATATGTAAAAAAGACAGCAAGAATGCGTGTAATTAAAAAATCGAACGTTATATACGTGGATAGAGATACGAAAACAAAGAAAACACAAAGTGTAGGATGAAAATAGTAAATATATACAGTGTAAGTAATGTAAGAAGAAGACAATTAGAATTTGAAAAAGTTATTATAATAAGACAAACGAGTTGGCACCGTCTTTGTAGCAACAGTCGAAATCTTACCAAACAAACAGATTCTATTGTTTAACCCGTCGCAACAACGGTGACGATCGTCGTCGCCGTTAACGTCTGTTACTTATATTTAGTACTATCTGATGATCCAGACGTTGCTCGGGCAAAAATAACAACAGGAAAGAATAAGATTATTAGATTTTAATGGTCAAATAAACACCAATTGAAAATGCGGTATCTTAAATTCTTTCAGAAATAATTTTTCTCTCCCTCTAAGAAACTGTTGCATTCACAGCCGAGTATCAAACGGTCTTTGTCTAGTTACTTCTCACTAAGTAACTATCTAGCCAGCTCTGATTGTCGGCCGAAATCATAGCGTGATTTCGTGTGATTTGGGATAGTTTTGTGGACACTTTCTTAAATTCTTGTCTCACTGTTTATTTATCACTTTCCCGGTTGTTATAAGAGAGAAAATTATAACGATCCGGAAAAATGATCTCGTCGCAGATTTTTACATTTTTGGGCTTGGGATATCTTACGAAATAACGAAGTCCTGTTAAAATACAAAAGACTTCCATACGAAGAATATTTTTTGCCCATTGTATCCTCTGCTTCAGAGACGTGGATATTAAATATAATAGAAAATATTAGAATTAAAGCAATTCAAATGATGTTATTGAAGTGAATTTAAAGAGACAAAAAAACCACAGAACCGTCAAAGATCTTTTGTAGAAATTGCAAATTTAATGATAATTTTTCTGAATGAAAAAATGTTACTTCCGTTCGGGACGTTCTATACAGAAAATATTGTTTAATTATAGATGCACGAGATTAACTGATACTTAATTTACTGCTTTATTATGCGATAATGATGCATTTTATAACACCATTCGTAGTCAAAATGCATAAAAACGTATACAAAATTAATTATTAATAAAAAAAATACAAAATTAATTATTAATAAAAAAAATACAAAATAATAACGATTTACGAAAAATTACTCATTAAAGCGATCAAACACGTAACGTTTTAATTATTCAAATTACACAGTTTGTCAGGTAAAAACATTACAATAAATCACTTCGTCTTCGTTTGTCTTGGACACTTTCTAGACATTTTCTTTTCTGCGACAATAAACAATGGAAACAACAATAATCACACCTGTTAACATTAGCGAAGTAAGGACAAAGACATCGATTTTCCATCAGAAACAGAACTAACTTTTTCCAATCAATATTCTTTCGAAGAAGAATAATTTACTGAAAATGCCAAATTTATTTCTGAAATTTCTGTGCATCTGTCATTAGAAACAATATGGATGAAAGACAGAAAAGACGAATTTCTTCTGCAGTCAATATTAAAGAAATCCGCAATCTTCTGTTTGTTTCGAAGCAACCAGTCTCGATTAAATTGCGAATTACAATCGCAATTCAAATTGTTTCGTGATAAATATATGTTAAATTCCGGAGAAAGGTCGATCAGGTTCATTAAAACGAAAGGTAATTCGGTTAACCGGTTTCCGTCCAACCACAGCCATTTCAGGTTTGGAAAAAGAACGTAATCAGAAATATTACTTATTGAATTATTACTCAAACGTAAATGGGTGACGTTTTTCCACGTCACACAATCGATATTTGACAAATAATTTATGTAATTATTACTCAAATCGACAATCGTCGCATTGGGGACGAGAACTTCGGGAATTCTCTCGATTCCCTTTCCGGAACAATTTACTACCACGTGATTATCTTCGGCGAAACATTCGCAATTCATCGGACAATAATTTCCTATGACTACGAACGATGTATTATCAAGCAAGTTTCTTTCTTCTCCGTAACATTTCGTCTTCTCTATATTTGGAAACATTTTACTTGCTACTTCTCTATTTGACTTAAGGGCAGAAACGAATTGCTGCAGTTCGTGGTTACAAGTGATTTCATTATTACTTAAATCATAAGTCGGCATTTGAAATCCATATTTTTTGTCATCGACGTAAATTGTTCTGATTTTACAATTAGACAGACGAATCATCACGCGATTTGGAGTGTAAATTGGCAATTTGACGATTTCAAAATGATTACTTGACAAATCGACTATAGTTAAGTTGTATTCTGTCCAATCTATTATCGGCCATTGTTTCAAACCAGCATTAATTAAACGGACATAAGTTAGATGTTTGCTGCTGCCAAAAGGAGGCTCACCAGTAATTTCAGTTAAGTTGTTATGAGATAAATCGAGATTCGTTAAATTAGTCAATGGGAGGAAGATGTTTTCGTGTAAAAAACTTAGACGATTTTGTGATAAATCGAGAATCTGCAATGACGACAAATTCTGAAAAACATCTTTGGGAAGATTTTCTAATTGGTTTCCCCGCAAGTCTAACTCTCGCAGTTCAGAAAGTCCATTAAAAATTCCTGTTGGAAGTGTCGATATTTTATTCAACGAACAGGAAAATCGTGTCAGCAGTTTGTTATTTCTCAAATGATTTGGCGGGAGATGTTGAATTTTGTTGAAATTTAAATCGACGATTTTCAAATTAAATATGTCAGAAAATACATCTTCTTCGAGTGAACAAAGGGAACAACTCCATGTAGAAAATTCAACCAAGTTGTGCAGTTTATTAAAGAATTTGGACGGAATTTCTGATAATTCTTGGTTTCCACTAACAGAAAATATCCTTAAATTATAAAGACCTTTCAACATGTCACTGGGCAAATCCTTTATCCGATTCCATTCTAAATCCAAATATTCTAATCGGGTGAGATTTCTAAAGACAAGTGGATGAATCGATTCAATGATATTAAAACTTAAGTGTAGTTTTTTCAAACTGCAAAGATTATAAAATAGATTTTTGGGTAAAACTCTTAACTTTCCATTCCTAATGTGTAATTCGGAAAGATTAATTAACTCACGGAAAGGTTTGTTCGGAAATGAAGTGAAGTTATAGTCATCTATTTCCAGTAAAGACAGAGATGGTACATTATGAAATGTTAAATTTAGAAGTTCCGACGACCTCACATATCGTATTACGACTGATTGCAGAGAGGACATGTTATTAAACGAGGCGCTCTCAAACTTTTTAATATACACCAGTGGAGTGTACCATATCCAGACGTGTTCGATTACATACCCGAAAGTTAATATTCCAAAATCAATTCCCGACAGAGAACAATCTGTAAATGTTATCTCTTCTACATTTCTAACGTTCAAACATCGCATCAAACGAAAGTCAATCGTTTCCTGGCCGCACTTGATGAATAAAGACTGGTTGAATAGTTGAACAAAAGAAAAGTTTTTTGATTCGTAGCAGCTGTCTGCCGATGATGACAGGCAAGAAACATTTCCCCAATGTTGCCAAAACTCTTGACAGGAATTAACCNGGTTGAATAGTTGAACAAAAGAAAAGTTTTTTGATTCGTAGCAGCTGTCTGCCGATGATGACAGGCAAGAAACATTTCCCCAATGTTGCCAAAACTCTTGACAGGAATTAACCACTAGAAATAGGAATTGCAAAAAGATAACCCACCTCATCTCGTCCAATCAGTCTTGTAATTACATCGACAAACGAATCTCAGAAGTACGATCCTAAGAAATGAATTAACAATAAAACAGAATTCTGAACTCCTAATAGTCGATATGCTTACTGTTGCTACGTCAATAACGCGATGAAGTGTGATGTCAGTGACATTTAATCGTCATTTCCTACAGAAATATGACGTATACAGTTTCTAATTTCCTGGTTTATTTCCGTTGCTGCGAAAGGAACAAAATAAGATTAATTTTAAGTGAATATTTTACAAATAAATAGTTTGTTTTGCTCATTTATTACACGAGAATTGCTCGTGTAAACAAATTGATATTGTAAATAAAATATTATTTTGTGAAGTAAATATTAATGTGAAGTAAATTTAAAATGTATTCCTTTCATATTTGTTAATTGTTTTTTAATTCGTGAAATTATAATTATATTAATACGAAATATAAAATATTTCTTGCATTATTGATTTTTTATGTAAAAAGTTACAGAAAATCAAAATACTTTTATTTGATAAGTAAAGAAGACAGCAAAAATTAATCAAATGGAACAGAAATGATTTTCTGTTTGAATGAAACTACAATACATAGATACAGAGATACAGAGATACATAGATACATAGATACTATACATAGATTTTTGTCATATTTAAAGCATTTAATTAAGTTAATAAAATATATGATAAATGCGAAACTCTGGCAAATAATTTAAAAATATTTAAAAATGAAAATAAATTTAATCTTTGAGTAAAAAACTTAAAATACATTAGGCAGCTTGCGGCCGAAAATAACTAATTTTTTACAAGATATTATCTATTTGACAAATGTGACGAATTATCTATTTGATCATTCGTTAATTTAATTTTAATCCTTTAATAAGTATTGATTGTTTTTATTACCTATAACTGTTTTTTGAATGTGTTTGTACGACATCACAGACGAGACGTAAATGTTGCTAGACAACGAAAACACTTCAATCGATAGCATAAATTACGTCATCATTGGATACATTACGTGTCGAACACGTCGAACTCCGTACGTTACTACACAAGTTCGAACGAGACTGTCGAAACGGAAGAAACGTCACTGGCTACGGTTTGTTCGGTAGCTGTGATGTAACACACCAGTTATGAAACGACAATTTTGTTCTTTGTTTTTTAAAATCGAAAGATTTGTGAATGAATGTTTACCAGGAAGATTGCAATCCCGTTCATTTTCACTTTGAATATAAAAAGTTTCTGTAGGCCAATTCTCCCTTAACGTGCCAAATTAATACAATCGTGTTTGCCCATTCTTCGAGTAACGACTGCTGAAACTTAAAACCTTCTCTGCGGCACGGAGAATTTTTTTTTCTAGTGTCTGTCTCGATTCCCAGCCGGCCATTATTTACTACACGAAACGTCGGCAAACCAACACTACAGATTTCGTGTATAAATTTGTAAAACTGGTGTAGACATAAATCTCACGAATTTCTTTTCTTGTCTTTTAGATAAACTTTCCTGGGGTTTCTGGACGAAGAGGAAATTGGCGTAATTCCAGTAAACTGGGCGTTGTAAAGATCCGTATCCTCTGCGCAAATCCTATACAAAGTTAACATTTAATTAAACGTAAGATTTAGTTTATGGAAACGTATTAATTGTTATTTTAATTAATTATGGACTGCATTACGACACGTAAGTTAGGATAAGAACTAACAGAGAAGAAAATTCCTCTGATAATGTTAACAATGAAGACGAGTGAATAGAAAGAAATTTCGGGGAGGATCTGTCCGTGCTGTATCTTCGTTATTAACTTATTTCTTTCTTATAGGTAAGCTATTTGCTTATTTTTGGTTGTTTTATTTTTATTTATTGGTTTTTTGAATTTTATTGACAGATGCTCCCAAACTTTAACTTTAAACTTAAACTAAGTATTACATTTGATTTTTAAATCTTTAATAAAATTATATCTGAATTGTTATTTATTTACTTTATTATCGTATAATACGTTTGTGATTTTATGTTCATTGTATCTAAGTGTTTTGTTCTTTGGAGATGGCTTTGCTCTCCGCATCAAGGAGTGTATTCAGTATGCGTAATAAATAAAATAAATAAATAAATAAAAAGAAATTTCATCTTCGGAGAATAAACGCCTAACAAACGAAGGAAAAAGAAAAATACAACAAACTGCCATTTCATTAACAAATGACAAATGTAACGATGAAAGTCGTCGACATTAGGGAAACATTTTCTGTTTCCTGCTGTCGTTTACCTTGGAATTAACTCACTTACAAGCAGACGGCAGACTTTCGCTTGAACCTGAAAATACGCAAAATTTGATAGAGAGGTTTTAGAAGCAGAGAGCAATGTTAAATTTACAAGTTCCGACGACCTCACATATCGTATTACGACTGATTTCAGAGAGGACATGTTATTAAACGAGGCGCTCTCAAACTTTCTAATATACACTAGTGATGTGTACCATATCCAGACGTGTTCGATTGCATACCCGAAAGTGAATATTCCAAAGTCGATTCCCGACAGAAAACAATCTGTAAATGTTATCTCTTGTACATTTCTAACATCCAAACATCGCATCAAACGAAAGTCAATCGTTTCCTGGCCGCACTCGATAAATAAAGACTGGTTGAATAGTTGAACAGAAGAAAAGTTTTTTGATTCGTAGCAGCTGTCTGCCGATGATGACAGGCAAGAAACATTTCCCCAATGTTGCCAAAACTCTTGACAGGAATTAACCACTAGAAATAGGAATTGAAAAAAAATAACCGACCTCATTTCGTCCAATGAGTCTTGTAATTACATTAACAAACGAATCTCAGAAGCATGATCCTGAAAAATGAATTAAGAATAAAGCACAATTCTTATCTCCTAATAGTCGATATCCTTACTGTTGCTACGTCGACAACGCGATAAAGTGTGATGTCAGTGACATTTAATCGTCATTTCCTACAGAAATAAGACGTAGACAGTTTCTAATTCCTTGGTTTATTTCCGTTGCTGTGAAAGGAACAATATAAGATTAACTTTAAATAAGTATTTTGCAAATAAATAGTTTGTTTTGCTCATTTATTACACGAGAATTGATCGTGTAAACAATTTAATATTGTAAATATAATATTGTTTATTTTCTTTGTCTAAGACGTATCTGAATGGTGTGTTTTGTGACACAAAACAATGTTTTTGTCTGACTTAACTTAAATTATTATAATGACAATTTTATTACTGAATGTCAAGTAAATATAAAATGTACTCCTTTTATATTCGTTAATTGTTTTTTAATTCGTGAAATTATAATCATATTATGACGAAATATAAAATATTTCTTGTGTTATTGATTATTTTCCTCTAAAAATTTACAGAAAATCAAAATACTTTTGACTGTTTTTTACTGTTTTCTTTACTTATCGAATAAAAGGAACAGAAATGGTTTCCTGTGTGAATGAAACTTCAACCGTTTGTCATATTTAAAACATTTAATTAAGTTAATAAAATATGACATAAATGAAAAACGCTGGAAAATAATTTATAAATGTTTAATGTAAATAAATTTAATCTTCGAGTAAAAAGCTTAAAATAAATTAGGCAGATTGCGGCAAATACTTAATTTAAAACAAGTTATTAGCTATTTGACGAATGTGACGAATTATCTATTTGATAATTCTTCACTTTACCGTTGATCCTTGAATAAGTAATGATTGCCTTTATTAGGTAGAACTGTTTTTTTGGAATGTGTATTGTACGTCATCACAGAAGAGACGTAAATAGTGCTAGACAACGAAAACATTTGAATCGATAACATAAATTACGTCATGATTGGATACACCACGTGTCGAATTACGTCGAACTCCGTACGTTACGACACAAGATCGAACGAGACTCCGAAACCCAAGAAACGTCACTGGCTTGTTCGGTAGCTGTGATGTAACACGCCAGTTGTAAAACGACTACGTTGTTCTTTATTATTTAAAATCGAAACATTTATGAATGAATGTTTACCAGGAAGAATGTAAATCCGTTGTGTTCACTCCGAATATAAAAAGTTTTAGTAGGCCAATTTTTTTTTAAAGGGCAAATTAATATATTCGTGTTCGGCCAAAAATGGCCGAACACGAATATATTAATTTGCCCTTTTATTAATTTTTCGATTAATTACCGCTGGGAACAAAAATCTTTTCTGCAGCACGAGGAATTTAATCTAAGTGTCGATCCTAGTCGGCCAATATTTACAACACGAAACATCGTGTATAAATTTGAAAAACTGGCGTGGACATGAATCTCACGAATGTTTTTTTTTTTTTTTTTTTTTTTTAGCTGGGCTTTTTTGGGGTTTCTGGGCGAAGAGGAAATTGGCGTGGTTTCGAAAAACTGGGCGTTGTAAAGATCAGTCTCCTCCGAGCAAAGCTTATACAAAGTAAACATTTAATTAAACGTAAGATTTTGTTTATGAAATGAACGTATTAATTTTATTTTAATTAATTATAAAACTGCATTACGAAAACGTAAGCTAGCGTAAGAACTGACAGAGAAGAAAACTTCCTTAGATAAAGTTAACAATGGAGACAAGTGACAGGAAAGAAATTTCATCTTCAGAGAATAAACGCCTAACAAACAAAGAAAAAACAAAAGTACAACAAATTGCCATTCCATTAACAAATGAAAAATGTAACGATGAAAGTTGTCGGCATTAGGGAAACATTGTCTATGTTTCGGGAAGCGATTATGCTGTCGTTTACCTGGGAATTAACTGACTTACAAGGAGACGGCGAGACTTTCACTTCTCTGATTTGAATGAAACTTATTGAGTGCCTAGTCTTAAACACAAATAGCCTCTTGTACAACTAATAGGAAGCATTTTTCCAGCGCTTCCGATTAAAACGGGCCATTGAAAATTGACTGTTGAGCTTATAAGTATGGAAATTCCGTCTATTGTAGAAATTGCAATAACAGAGTCTATCTAATCTAGACGCCGGAACTACGTAATGTGGGCTCTATTCTAGGCGAATTCAGTTTATTTGTTTAATATACAACATAGTTATTATATTACTGTAGCGTATCATTAGCATTATTATTATGTCGGTCACCTCGTATAGTATACAAGAGTCGGCGAGAAAAAAGAACATCACTTTGTAGGGAAAAAGCCCGAAGGACGGAACGAACGGCAACGCAGTTAAAAGAGTAGCAGCACCTGCGAAAGGAAGAAGAGGAAAGAATAAAAGTACGTAAAAGAAAGTACGTTTCATTGTAAAGGGGTCATCCCTATTGACTAGGAAAACGGATTAGCTTACTCGTAGGAATGATCAAAATTTACAATTAGGTACTGGTATATCTTTCCAGCAGTGCTGTCGTTTCTAGAGTAATTTGAACCTCCCGGGGCACAGTTTAGGGTAGTGTTATATTTAAGGTAAATCTAAGGAAAAACTGATCTGTGATCTGATGCTTTTATTGTAAAAGTTTTATTGCACACTTGTAGAAGAAATCTATGCCAGATTTTATTTCAGTAATGACATTTTTTCATATTTGCTTTCGTTTGAACCTGAAAATACGCAAACTTCGACAGTGAGGTCTTAGGAGATATTGTTTTAAAATGTTAAAGTTGATTTACAAGTTGTAGACAACAAATAGCGTAAACAAGCCCTACCTAACTCAGGCTTAAAATGTCACACTGTCTGATCCTACTGGTCAGAAATATTTATTTTAAAAAATGCTGCTAGAGAGTTTGTTTTAAAATCTTGAAAAATTGTTGGCTTTATTCACGATATATTACACATCCATGAAGCAAATATTTAGTCTACTTCGTTTGTGTAAGACATTGCACGGATATTCTTTGAAAACTGAAACGATTTGTAAACTATTGCATGCACATATTGGTATTCAAGAAAATATTGAATACATAGTTATTATATTACTATTGTTCAAAACAAATGTTATGACTTAAATTTATATGTGTGAGACCGAGCCTTTGATTTTGCTATATTTTACAGAAATTTTAAGCTTAATTTTTTTTCTCGATCGTTAAGAAAACATCGCAGAATAAAAGTATTAAATGTGGTCTTTCTCATCAACAACAGCTAAGAAAGGATAACAATTTACGGTTAACGGAATGAGATCGTTAACATTCGCCCGCATAAACAGGATGAATCTACCGTTGCACGAATCAAAGATTACATTTTACATTCCATTTCGATACCTTGTATTTATCTCTCTGGATCGCCTCTGATCCAACACTTGCAAATTTAACTTTTGTTTTTGACAACGCTCGATCACACGATAATTTTCCCAGGCAAAAACGAATATAAGGCTTATCCTCCCTATTCGGGGCAGTCGTCTCAGAAATTATTTTTACTCTTTGCACCAGACAAACCAACATGTCCAAGCTGCGCTCGTCTCCTAGAAATCCTTTAGGATGAGCAGATTTTCTTCGAAAGTTCTCCAACAAACTCAAAGCAACAATTTATAAAAAATTTTTCATTAAACGTCAAACTCGCAGCCCTTGAATTGTCGCAATTACAGAATATGTCGGATGTAAACATTCTAATAAATCATTCCTTCTGCCTTAGTCTTTGGCACTTTCTCGACAATAACCACACCTAATAACATTAACGTAAAAATAAAATATTAAATTATGTAAATTAAGGTTACTTAATTTTATATTTAATTTACTTCTGTTATTATTCCAGCTCATGTTTTTATACTGTTCGAAGTCAAAATTCTTTTAACTCCAGTATTTTAAATATGTTATCCCAGCCATCACTGTATTATCTTAGGTATCTATATATTTTATTGCGTAAATCTTTCTACGCGTATACTAAATATTTCAATACATTCTGTAAATCTCTACGTCTTTAATAATTTTTTACCCATGTATCTGTTACAATAGGAGTGCAGATTAAGCCCGAATTGCATATCCTATTCTATCAATAAACCGGCCTTTTTCGAAATCTTCCTGTGTGATTTCTTCTCAATGGCAGCCTCGTGCTAAGGAAATACAGAAAAGGTGTGTACTTCCCCTCTTTTATCTTTGTTGAAGATTCGAAACATATTACATAACAGATAATGTTATTATCGTTTTATTTATTTTTTTATCAATGATAATTGTTACAGCTTTTTATATTTGATAATTTAAAAAATTATATTTAAATGTAATTTCGATGGTGGTGCAAGAATAGAAAGGTTGAGAAGTAATCGGGTAAATGTTCTATGTAATTCTCAAAGGGCTTTTAATTCAATAACAATCACTCACCCATGGCGGAGTATTTAAAAACATCGAACACAGGCGAACGGTAGCGTGTTCGAGTCCTATCGATGGGCGGAATGCGTGGGATTTTCCAGGCTCGAGTCACGTGTGTAACGGAAGAATAGGGACCAGATTCACGTAGAAACTATTAAGGGAAAGTGATCGTCCTAGTGTTGAATTGTGGTAATTCTGACATTAACACCGAATAAAAATGGATGTTTATAAATAAACCGTTTGTTTTCTAAAAGTGTTTTATCGACCGATTAGAAATAGAAACGAATTTTAACATTATTATCTTTATTTAAATTTCTGGAATTAAACAAATACAATGAATAATGCTTATATTGATGATAATATTCTCAGTGGCAATTAGCAGATCTAAGTATTGTTTACGTATACATTAAAATATTAAATTGCTTTTATAAAATACAAATACAAATTAATATTTACGATAAATGCCATTACATACGAAACTGGTAAATTGAAAATTTGTGTTATTCCATTCTTCGGATTTTCATTTCAACCCACTCTACTTGTATATATTCACCATAAATATGCCATATCATTCCGCCGGTACACTTGTAATTTATGTTTTTATTGTTGACACTTAGATGCGTATAACAGGATTCAGTTGATGTGACCCACCATCCGCCGTTCTTATTATCTGAACAGACTCCGATCCACGGTCCATTATCGAATGTGCTGAATCTGTTATTTTTAACAATACTTAAAGAATCACCTGCGTGTTAATGCCGCGCACTCTGAAAACTAACGTATTGAAAAAGTAAAATACATAAATATCTCACCTATATTTCCTTCAACGAAGTTATCGAACGTCAATTTGTATAATTCGTCTTTGCTTCCAACTTTAAAATTTGAGTAAACGGCGTAATAATCTCCACTTTCTCTAAACTTTACCATGTTAATTCTCAGCATGTAATTTCCTTGAGCCGTTAATGAATGTATTTTGTCCAGTCCTAAGTCAAATATCTTCAATTAATCGCTCAATTAGGAAGCATTTTTATATTTCTGAAGGTGCTTACCTAACCAAAATCTTTCGTTTAATTTTCCGAAACCTTGGCTGTAATTTGTCCAGTTTCTATAAAAATAGTCATGCAGATTACCATAATCTCCTCTTCTCTGGAATACCTTAAAATTTTCGAAATTTTTCTTATCAGTGTTTCGTTATAATTATGTTAAAGCAATCGAGAAAATCGCTTAATTTGGGGAGATCGGGGCAACTTCGGCATGCGGGGCAAGTTTGTCAAGCGCTTTTTTTAAAAAACGAATTAAAAGGAGACTTTGGTTATAGGTTAGGCAGTTGAGTTTTATTGGTGGCTTGTTGAGTGTAGTGTTTTTATTGTTCTCCAAAAGCGTAGTCGAATTATCAAGCAAATTTTCATTTTCGTTGAATTCCATATAATATTTTTTTTCCATTTATATTGAATTGGCAGGTTTTGTTATAATTCCATGATAACGAAAGTTACTTTTCCTGTTAGAAGGATGTAACTTCAACTTATTCACGTGGCCAGATCGTGGCTTGGCATTCTGTTCTCAGGGTTGTACTTAATGTTTCGAAATCATGACTAGCGGGGTAAGATCGGCAACATAAAGCCACATTAGAAGCAAAGGATAAAAATCAAACAGATGATAAATGAAAACATGTTTGCATTTGTTATTCATGTATATATGTCTTTGAACTTGCATTTCGTTGTAATAATATTAAATGGGTGTTGGATTTGTATTTCTTTGTTTTAATAGTGAATTCCAACTTATACATTGTTAATAACATAATTTTATATACGTGCCTATCTTGCCCCATTACTGTTGCCCCTATACCAGGGGCAACTTTAATAAAAATAATTAAAATAATTACAACTTTACAAAAAGAGAGAAGTTGCCGATCTTGCCCCTATACCCGGGGCAACTTCGTCAATTTCTCTCTTCTTGTAAAGTTGTAATTATTTTAATTATTTTTATTTCCAAACTGATTTTAACCAGTTCTATAGTAAGGTAACATTCCAATAGACAATATGCAAAGCTTTTTTTTTTCAGTTTACAGCAGTATTTATTACACAAAATTTAAGTAAAGCTTAACATGCCGATCTTGCCCCGATCTCTCCTATATAAAACCCGATTCTGCAATACAGTGGTTATGCGTACTGATGTGTCCAAATTAGTTTTGCAGTGTTTATTTTGGAGTATTATTACGTTAAAAAAATTTAAGAGTCTTACTGTCCATCCTCCTCCGTCCTTTTCCATGTCGCAGTACACAGGGAAAACAAAGAGGTTCGTTTGTTCTTCCCTTCGGACACACTGTGTAAATTCCGGATTCCTCGACGCCGGTTTCCTTCAATTCTTCGCAGTCAATGGGTTCGATAACTGCACACAAAAGAGTTTAAGTAAATCATAAAGGCTTTTATAAATAAAGCGAACCAAGAATATCTTACCGTCATCTTCGACTGACGTATCCCTCTTGTGACAAAGCACCTGTGTCGAATACAGTAAGAAAATTACACCCAGACAATACAAGGCTCGCATGTCGAACGATTCGAGTGTTAATTAAGTGGAAGACTTGTTTGTTAATCTTTATATTTAAAAACGGAGAAGGAAGTGAGTTTAAAATGTGTGCGAGAGATAAGAATTTTAATTATAACAACTGGAATGTTAGAACAAAGTAAATATTAATGTATTTGAGACCAATTAGAAGTAATTAAAGTTTACCGTTCTGTATAATCACAACGATAATCGACACTTAATTTTATAATTTATTACTATTATAAAGAATTTTACTCCATTAAATTGAATTTTTTCTCGCAATTAGGGTGAATATTCAGCAAATTAATACGTATGAAAATCTGATAAAATTTATGTACAATTTATGTACTCTTCACTATGCTGGTCTTCAGTTTTAACATCTTTTAATTAAAACATCGTGTCACATCTGGTCCAGACTGAAAAACTCTATATAGAAAATCGGAGTATCCAAACATGTGCCTTTTACAGCTGGTTTGGATTTTAATCTATTTTACTCCGTTATCGAGAATAAAAAAGGACAGACGAATAGCGAGATGATTACAGACGGGCAGACTTACGAGAGTCTGAACGAAGTTTTTCAATATGAAAATTGCAGCTCGATAATCACAAATACTTTTTAAAGGAGCCAAACACCAAAGAGAATTATGAAGTTCCTAAAATCAAGAAATTCATAATATTCACGTGCAAAGCCTTTAACACAATGGAATTTTCTGCGTAAAGAACGGCATTTGACGAATTTCTTAACCGAGTTCGTAGAATTTCAAACCGATACGACATGTTTTTCAATTATATAAACATTAATTTATTTTTAACTTTAATGGAATCGGTCCGAAAAATATCGAAAGAATTAATCGGAAACAGCCAAATAAGTAATCAGTTAGGTAATTATATTAAGGAAGTACTTATAATTACGATCGATAAATATCCAATTAACGAACGTCATTAACGATATCACCATAAACAGTTGATTCTTACCGGAACAAACACAATGTCGATAAGAATTAAATCATTCCTTCGCAACGGGAAGTAACTAATTACTGGCGATCGGATACAAATAATTAACGTGAAAAATCGCATAAAGCAAAAGTCAAATTAAAAGTTATTATTAAAAATATAATTATAAAAATTATTTATTTTTACGAAAGTCTCATTAAGTAACAATTAACACAATATTTTTGACTTTGATAGAAAATATTCTGGTCTTCTGCAATAAAATTTTATTTTTTTATTATCTTACTTTTAATTAATTAAAACGTAAATTAAACAGAATTTCGTAGGAACTTGTTTGAGAATATTTTTAAATAGAATTTCTTTTAAATTATTGTTGAATACTTTTAAAAAATCAATTTATTCCTGTTGTAGGCCACTATTCAACCCAATTTCTGTTGATTTCGAGTTGAAGATAAAATTCTTATTGATGGAAAACAATCCTGGATGATTCGTAACAAATTAATTTACAACACTCCAAAAATTCCATCAAATACAATATAAATTATAATTTCCGAATTTTCGGAAGAAGAAATCCTCATCTGTAATGTGCCTGGAAGGCATACTTAAGTTTTTTGGTCAATAAAACAGAAGATTTAAAAGTAAAACTGTCCACTAGTTGCTTAATCTTCAGATCAGAAGAGAATATCCAAAAAATGAATTGAAAATAATTATTTGCTTTTTTGAATTTGATGTCTTAATTTTCTAAGTATTACATTACACTCTTTCTTTAAAAAATCTCTTTTATATGAGGATTTATTTATGTCCTCTGCTTTTTCGTCTTCTCGAACTATCCACAAGTTCTTCTTTCTCTTCAGTTTACGTTGTTCATTTAGAGTAAGTCGCCGGATCGATGATAGTCGGCGAAACGTGAGTCACTGCCGACATCATTGATTAGCACCTAATTTTTCCACCGGCACGGCTGGTCGTTGCTTGTTAAAAATCGGCCTTCAAAGATGGGGTAGACGTGATTCGACTGTCTAAATAAATGATGGAAACAAGATGGGAAATGTCCGGAGGAGTAAACGCTTGGCGATATATACGGGTCAAACGCAAACTCGCTTGACAGAGAAGGGTTAGTGACCATTTAATATAGGACTGGTAATGTCGCTACGATAGAAAGCCAGGTCCCGGTTACGTTTTAAAGAGAGAGTGGAAAGGGCTAAGAGAGTGGAAACTCCCTCTAGAGATGTGAGAGAGGTCGTGGGAGATTGTCCTCGCTCGCAAGCAGTGTGCGAGAGGAACGAATCCAGTTTCTGAATAAAGGAAAGTAATGGGTGTTGTAGCACTTCAGTGCCATCCGGAAAATAACGTTTAGGACTCTCTCGATGAGGGGGATGAGGCAGGGAGAGGCCCTTTCCGAGAGCGACTCACCGAATTCTGCGCTTGGGCATAACACCGAGTAAACCAAACCGAGCGGATTTTTTATCCCGGCCCATTTTGCCTGAATGAAAAGAATTTTTTGAAGAATCCCTGCTCAAAGGGCTAGTTCGGAGCAAAACAAACTCCCGTGGGTAGTCCACGTGAAGGCTGATTAGATATGGACGTCAAGGATACCAAGGGTCGTTTCTCGAGGAATCATTCCTATTTTATCAATAACTACAAAGACCTCGGTGAGGGTCGTAGTTTGGGAGAGAAGTCGACGACTGCGCTTTTTCCGGCCGGAAACGTCAAACTCCACTTTGCAGCCTGCGACCGAATGGCTGCCCGAGTCCGATTCATTCCCACGGGTTGAATGGGGTGTGGGGTGGAGACTTTCTAACAAACTCAAAAGGTGCGGTGGAGGAGTAAGGATAGGAGCCACCATAACGTTGCGCCAACAATTTCCAGCGCGGACAATTTTTTCATAAGCCCAGCTTGGCAGACAGAGTCGTACGGCCCTTCTGGGTCGAGTACAACAACGTAAACTCACCGGTATTTTGCACGCTCTATTTCTACGTGACTACCATTTCGGACGTTGGGTGGAACGGGTCCTCTGTGAATGTTCCCTGACTGGGTGGGAATCGGTTCGTCAGTCCATCTCTGAAATGTTGCAGTCTGTGTCAAACGTGGCCGGTGTGGAGAGTGGGCCAGGTTCTCGCTCCTCGATTCAAGACATCCAGTAATCCGAAGAATAGAATCCCTTTGACGGTTTACATCTTTAGAGTCTCCTAAAGACACTGGGTCGTGAGACGATTCTACTCTAGAAGGACTTGTGTGTGTAGGCTAATGAAATACATTTTTATAATAAAAATGTTTGTATTATTTTTTCGAAGCTCTTTGTTTGTATCCACTCTGTCTTCCACTGCTATTCAAACCCCAGTTGTAAACATTGGTATTATTCTACAAATTACATTTATCATCTAGAAAAAGACTATTTCACTAAAACTAAAAAACACTCTTAACCACGACCTTTTCTCGAATAAGATCTCGGGTTCCTCAGAGCAGTAGGCTACCACCTTGACTGGTTTGCCATCCGGCCATGGTACACAAAAACATAGATTAGCATGCATACATACAGAAATTACCTCCGGATTGTTTTTTTTTCATTTCTCGGTGTTTTAAGGTGTCGTAAGTCCAAAAATATGAAAATCTGGGAGTCATCTTATTTCCGGACCTCCGTACTATCCCTCTTATTATAGAAAGAAAAGTAAAAACCGTAATACAAAATAGATATGCGAAGTTGCAACAGCTGTCACAAAAACTGAGATATTTATTTGGAAAAAGCAGTTTTAAAAAATATAGAAGTATTTGAAGAATGCGATCATAAAGTGACTTCACGCTACAAAAGTTTGTAAAATTAACCTGGGCCGAAACATCAAAGTGCTTTACACTCGAGAATGGAAGAAAGTCGTCTTTAGTATCCAACAGTTTTCGGGGAAAAATTATTTGAATTGTAGTAACGTGACTTTTGGATTGTATTGGGCATTTTTATATAGTTAATCATGGCCATCTTCGTAACCAATAATCCAACTTTTCGAAAAATTTCTGACATTTTCTTATAGCACACAAGGTTTCTGGAAACTGCTTAATCTGTTGTACTAAACGGTTGCAAAATATCATTGTGTTCCGTTGGGATTACGGTTGAATTCGTATATCTGTATGTATGTGCTGTATATATAAATTAACTTATATAATATATATGTTTCTCTGTTTTCAGCTTTTAGCTCAATTTTTACATTAATTATTACCGCATCCGGTTCCGTACCGGCTTATCTAACATTTCATACATTGTTACACATGTTCATATACGAACTAATGCTTTGCAGTTTTTCCCTGAAATGTCCTAAAATATACTGTAATTTGAAAAGTTTGAGAAACGTTGATAACAGCATTGTACAAATGACAATTTTTAAAAATAATATTGATCCTTAAAAATTTTAAATGAAATTTCGTATCGTCACGCAACTATTAATGAACTCGGTTTTTATTTTAATTGCAAGTGACATAAAACAGACAACGAATTAAATTGTTTAATTAAAAGTACTCATAAATTTTGACTCATTACTGATCCGTAACGTGTAATTACTTCAATTGTTTAGTCAGTTTTATTTCTGCTTCGTTTCGTCACAGAAGGGAGAATCTTTCAGGTTTTTCAATAATTTTGTTTTATTGAAGAATTAAAATTATTCGTAAGTATTAAGATTGTTTTCAATATAAAATTTAAGAAATTTTTTACCCATAAATCTATAAATACGTAATATTTTTAAGAAGAATATCTGTAAAGATATCCCGTTCGTTATACAAGCTGGAATTTTACTCAATTATTTTTTTATTTTGTACAAATAAAATAAATATATTGAAAAATATAAAAATAATAAAAAATTATACTTCAGATGTTAATTTAGTATCAAAAACGTAAAATATTTGAGTAGCCCAAGACACAGCCAAAGATTGAAGCGCCACAGCACTGGCAAAAATTTAAATTTGCCGACTGCAATTCTTTTGGATGATTGACGTTTCGGATGATTGACTTTCGGAAAATCGACGCTCTACTGTATTACTATTACTATTAATAATAACATTAAGTAAAATAATAATAATAAATAATACAACTTGTTAAGAATTAGCACCATCCGTGGACAAGGGAAAGCAACAAATGTTATTATACAATTCGTTTTGTAAATATTTCATATATAATTTTCAGAAAAACTACTTCATTCGTTTTTTTCAAAATGGATATTTTGTGGAGATATTATATGAAAAGTTGAGCTTCTTCATTAGAACTACCCTGACTTTTTTCTACACAAACGACATCAAAGTTTTCACAGTTTCTGAATATTATTCGTCTTCTGTTTCAGTATATCCTGATTATATCGAAGTTGTAAGTAGTTTAAAACGAAAATATTATAAATATTCTACAGCAATAAATAACAATGCTAAACATTTCTGTTCCCTAAACACTGGGAATTTGGTCGTGGGTTCACGCCTCGCTCGGATGGGCTGGCTACGTGGGGTTTTCTCCACATCTGAAACGCCAGTTACCTTTAAAAAATCTCCCGAAATACAATCCTTTATTTACTTACAAAAATTATTAGGTTATTACTGAATATTTAATATACGAAAGAACAAGTAATTTTTGTCATAATATCTAAAGATAAAGCGTACAGGGCTGCAATTTTTGTCATTTATTTAATTTAAAATCTATGTATGTTCTCTATCTCAGATTAATACTCTTTTGCTCCTGTATACAAAACTTTTTCTGATAATAACAGAGCCATTTATGTTTGTTCCGGAGAAGTATTTAAATTAAAATCACATGACTTCCG